ACAGAAAGGATTTCGGCTTAAAAATCTTCTTCTTGCTCAAGTAAGCATACATACATACATACATACGCACTTACTTGTTCTCACACACGCAACTGTATTCTATTTTTTAAATTTTTACGCTCTCAACTTTGTGCGAGCGCGCTGAGAGCGAGAGAGGATAGAAGAAGATAGAGAGATCGTTCGTCAGTGGTTAGAGAGGGATGGGGGGATGAGAAATGTGACGCGTAACCGAGAAATGTGACGCGTAACCGAGAAATGTGACGCGTAACCAAAAAAAATGTGACGCAAAATTTTTTCCAACGCCGATAAAGAAGTTTCACTTCAAAAATTCTCACGCCGTTGTTTTTAATCAGATCGACTTGAATTATTCAAGATGGCGTTTTCTAACTGTTATTGAATTTCGGATTAAATTTGATCAAAATCGGATAACTCTATCATATAGCTGCCATAGGAAAGATCAAAAAAGATATATAGAATTAATGGAAATTAATTGATAACGTCATTGTTTTTCATCACACGACTATGATTTTTTGAGTATCAAGTTTTTTAACTAGCCTTGATTTATAAAAAAAAAACACCGGTAGCACTCCGGGAGTGCCGGCAGAAGTGAAAACTTCAATATTAACGTTGTGTTTAATTATAAGTATAAAAGTACTATAATTTATGAGGGAGGTAGAATACAATGTTTATTTATTGCGCTATCGTACACAAATATGGCAATTTATATGTTGTTATTTATAATATTATATCGTTATTTATATATTACATTAAATTTTATCTCTCATAAAAATCAACTTCCATCCATAATTTCGACGACTTTTACACCATCGTTATTATCAGAATCATCATCGCAAATTTTTACAACTGATACAATTGGTTTATGATAACTGAAGTAAGAAACAAACAGTTTTGATTCGAACCTATTTAAGTGTAAGTACAAGGTAGTCTCGTCGGCTTTTTTTTTCCCCCTATTGGGTTTTCCCGTAAGTGCGAAAGAAACAGAAGAAGATGATGTCGTTTTACCCTTATGCTGTGCACAGGGTTTAAAAAGGACTGTGATATGACCATGAGTATTAATTTTCCCGAAATTTTTGGTTTTTACACAAAGCTGCCCTTCAGGTCTCGCTCCCATATTGTTCACATTTCAAAATATTTTTCTGCAATATTACATGTTACGCCTTGTATGTGCTTGCTGCAATAATTGCAACAAGTATTTTTCACAAGCACACAAGGGCTAACGTTTTGAGAAAAAATCGTCCGCGGACAACCTCTCACTTCGAAATCCCGAGCGCACTGAACCATAGGGGGAAAAAACCCGAGCGATTTTGCAGCCGACGAGACCATGGTATAATAAGTAGGGGAGATGTGGGGGTTGTGGGCATAGTTTTGTTTTTGGCTTATAATTACCGAACTAGTGCATATTATTTGGACATATGGGTATCTGTGTAAAGCTAGAGATTTAAGCTAACTAATTGTGAAGAAACATACTTGATTTTGTCATGCGAAAAAATTTCATATGGACTTTTGTAAAATCGTAATTTTTAGCTAAAATTTTGTTTTGGGGGGGTTGTGGGCACCCTGGGAAAAAATGCTGCAAATGGAATAATATGGAAAAAAAACCGCAACCAATATCAACAAAATGACAATTTATTTATTTCACGAATATTCTGAAAGCCGAAATATAAAGAATAAAGCGTGGAATTCTTTGTGATAATCTATATCTTACGAATATTCTGGAAGCCGAAAAATGAAGAATAAAGTGTGAAAATCTTAGTGATAATCCCTCTCAGCGGGAGAGGATCCTTTTCCAAGAGCCTAAGATTTCTACAAGAATGTTCTAGAGGGTTCCAAACAAATTTTGAAAACAATTTTAAAAGAAATTGTAGGTAATAAAAAAATTTGCCAAAAAAAAACGGGTGCCCACAACCCACCCAATTTTGGTGCCCACAACCAACTTTCGCAGACATTTTAAGAAGTAATTAAAAAATGTGTTTGCATAAATTTTTTGGTTCAAATCGATATTGTTCCATTTAGTATAATGCTTTGACTAAATAAAAATGCATTACACTTACCTTTTTAATCGATTCACTTTAATTGATACACTATTGAAAATCTTTGAATAAAGTTTCACCACCTTTTCCAAGCACAAGAAAAACCAATTCGTTAATTTCAAAAAGCAAACGCGTTCGTTTACTTTGATATTTGGCATAAATCATACATAGGGTAATTGCTTGCGAATGACATTACCAAAAAAATTCAATCTTCATTTTGTGAAGATATACGTAGGGGTGCCCACAACCGACCCATGCCCACAACCCCCACTTCTCCCCTACAAGGTAGTCTCGTCGGCTTTTTTTTCCCCCTATCGACACTACAATTAGAGCGAGAGAAAGAGTGTTTTCCTACGAAAACCCGAGCGTTCGGGTGGATAGGGAGAAAGAACCCGAACGATTTTGCAGCCGACGGGACTACCTTGTATAATTGTACCATGCTACCTTGTATAATTGTACCATAACTCAGGCACGGTAGAAAGAGTGGGAGATACTAGTTCCTCTCCCTTCCCCTCATTCTTACGCTTTTTCGATCAGCATAACGGGACCCTGACGCGAGTTTGAATGTTTTTACCCTGCTCAGCGCCGCTAAAGAAGTTTTCACTTCAAAAATTTCATAAAAATCGGACAACTATATCATATAGCTGGCATAGGAAAGATCGAAAAACCTATATAGAATTAATTAAAACCTATATAGAATTATTTCTCTTCAGAAAATCATGATTTTTGGAATATAGAGCTTTCTTACGACTCTTGAATAACAAAGTAAATTTGATCAAAATCAGACGACTATATCATATAGCTGCCATATGAACAATAGTCAGAAAATAGGGAAAATTAATAGAAAAGTCGTCGTAGCTTCGATGTTGTTTAGCCTTTGTGTATTCTATTCGAAATATTTGATGACTGCAAGGGTATACACAGTGCGTCCATTAAGTTTCGAGACATGAACCATATCTCAGCAAATAGTAGCGCCATCTAGGTGTTCGAAGGTGCATTTTAAAGCTTAAACCTTTTTCTATTGACGTGCCAAACTTCAATACATTTGCTTGACAAATAACAAGGATATGACAGTTTTCCCTAAACAGTTTTTGATCTGATGTTGAAATTCCAACATGGAACAAAGAGCAAAGATCATTCCAGAGAAGTCGTTGCAGCCGCCAGAAATGATCCAAACTTTCTGAAATCAATTGTTACTGGCGACGAAACATGGTGCTTTCAGTATGATCCAGAAACTAAGCGCCAAAGTTCGGAATGCAAGTCGAACAAGAAAGGAAGCAAGCTTCGGCAAGCCGAAGCTCATATACCCTTGCAGTCATCAAATATGTCGAACAAAACGCATAAAGGCTAGACAACATCGAAGCTAAGACGATTTTCTATTCATTTTCCATATTTTTGACTATAGATTATATGGGAGCTATACGATATAGGTGTCCGATTTTGATCAAATTTAATTCGTAATTCAAGAGTCGTAAGAAAACTCTATATTTCAAAAATCATACTTGTCTGATGAAAAACCACGATGTTATAATTTTATTTCCGTTATTTCTATATAGATTTTTCGATCTATGGCAGCTATAAGATATAGATGACCGATTTTTATGAAACTTTTTTCTCAATATAAACGTTGTAAAAAAAACTTAATATTCAAAAAATCATGCTCGTGGGATAAAAAACAACGATGTTATCAATTTATTTGCATTAATTCTATATATAATTTTCGATCTCTTCTATGGCAGCTATATGATAGAGTTATCCGATTTTGATCAAATTTAATCCGAAATTCAATATCAGTTAGAAAACGTCATTTTGAAGAATTCAAGTCGATCTGATGAAAAACAACGTCGTGCAAATTTTTCATTTCATTCCCTCGTATGGGAGCTATCCGATATAGTCGGCCGATCCGGCCCGTTCCGACTTAAATACTGCGTGCAATGACTACACACCTTTTGGGAAAGTTTCATCAAGATAGCTTTAAAACTGAGAGACTAGTTTGCGCGGAAACGGACAGACGGACAGATGGACAGACGGACAGATGGACAGACGGACAGACGTACAGACGTACAGACGTATTCCGACTCTACTCGTGATTCTGATCAAGAATATATATACTTTATGGGGTCTGAGGTGTCTCCTTCACTGCGTTGCAAACTTCTGACTGAAATTATAATACCCTTTTGCTCTGCAAGGGTATAAAAACTCACCACAAGCCAAAAAAACGCGAAAATCTCCTTCAAAAATCAAAACAATGCTCATCACTTTCTTCGATAGTAAAGGCATTATCCACAAAGAGTTCGTTCCAACAGGTCAAACGGTCACTGTCACGTATTATCTTGAAGTTTTAAAGCATTTGATGGCCAGAATCTGTCGTACTCGACCCGAATATCGCGATCCAGTGAAATGGTGTCTGTTGCACGACAATGCGCCGAGTCACAAATCAATCATTGTTCGTCGGTTTTTGGCCCGAAATCAAGTCTGTGTGTTGGACCACCCACCGTATTCACCTGATTTGGCGCCAGGTGACTTCTCCTTGTTTCCAAAGTTGAAGTTGAAGTTGAAAGGATGCTTTTTTGAAGATGTTGAGACCATTAAAACGGCTTCGACACGAGCATTGGAGGCTATTCCACAAAATGAGCTGGAGCACGCATTTGAATCACTATTGAATCGCTGTGATAAGTGTATTAAAGCGAAGGGAGAATACTTCGAGTAATAAATTTGAAAAACTTGAAATATCTTGTTTATTTTGCGATTTATGGAATCAGTCTCGAAACTTAATGGACGCACCGTGTATAAGCTTCGGCTTGCCGAAGCTAGCTTCCTTTCTTGTTTTGAAATAATAAAGTCAAACATTTTTTAGTTTTTTAGAATATTTAGGAAAGTTCATTCGAACGTGAATATAAGTTGGAATGAAACCCTACTTTAAAATTTAAAAGAAGATCTAATACGTACTTGTATGTTCAGTTCCAAATTTTTCCACTGGCAAAACCTTGTAAATTTATCGCTAAAATGAAATAAGTGAAAAATGAATTAATAAGGAATTGGTAAAAATTAAAAAAATAAAAATAAAGAGAGTGAATAACGAGTATTTAAGAGGAGTCTATCTAGTAATTATTTTGCAAATTCAATTAACTGCACCAAGCTCACACGCACAGTTCAGTAAGCGGCAGCATGTGTAAATTAAAGTTGGACTAAAATAATCGGTTCTTACTCATTTACATGCCATATTCGATACGATATCTAATAGAATAAAGCACCGTCAGCCTGTCCATCTGTTTGACTCCACGCAAACTAGTCTCTGTTAGTTGTAGAGCGATCCCGGTTAAGCTTTTTCAGCAGTCGGACAGCTATTCTATTCGATAGTTCTTCTTCAGTTCTTACTATGAAGGTGACACCTTAGGCCCATAGAGTGTATGGGTGATTCCATATCAAATTTGCAGTCGATATTGGGAAATTCGATTTTTTTTTTCTAACCCCTTTATTTATTACATCTATTCAATAGAATATTAAGTAATTGTTTTGGAAGACAACATGTGGGCTTAACTTATTACCAACACCATTGTGTTGGTATAACTTTTTTAATTTCGCTTATTTTTATTTACTTAACTTTATACTTAACTTTATTTTAGTGTTCTTTGTTGTGCTTCTCTTCTCGGAATGTCTCTATGCTATGATTCTGGTGCGCAAGTAATTTTTGGATGTGGATAATGCAATTCTGCTTAATTATCTCTGAGATCGTCTGTATTCTTAGCTCTCTGTGGATGTGGTCATTTGTTGTGTATCTGTCTGAGTTAGTTAATATTCTTAATATTTTCGACTGGGCTCTTTGTATTAAGTTGAGGTTGGATTTGCTGGCTGTTCCCCATATTTCTATACCATATGTCCAGATTGGTCTTATTATTGTTTTATAGATTAGTAGCTTGTTGGATACGATTAGGTTTGATTGTCTTCCCAGAAGCCAATGGAGTTGTCGGAATTTACTTTTTACTTCGTTTCGTTTGTTTATTATATGTTTTTTCCACGTGAGTTTTGAGTCAATAGTGAGTCCCAGGTATTTTGCGCTAGTACTTAGTTTCAGGATTTCGTCATTTATTCTTATTTTTGTTGGGGTAGTTTTTTTTTTTTTTTTTGTGTATACCACCTGTTGGGTTTTGTCCTTGTTTATTTCAATGCCCCATTTTTCAAACCATGACATTGTTGTTGTTAATATCTCTTGAAGGGTGATTGCTGCTCTTTTTTCTGTGTAACTAGAGGCCAATAGCACTGTATCGTCAGCAAAGGTTGCAATCATGGAACCATGGGTCAGTGGGTTTGGGATGTCTGCTGTGTATATAAGGTATAATACTGGCCCGCTGCCACAGGAATAAGATCTGAACATTCATCGTCGCATTTGATATAGAAATATCTGTTAGTCAAGTAACTTTTTAGTATAGTGAATAGGTTAAATGGTAGGATGTTGTGAAGCTTATGGAGTAGTCCTGTATGCCATACTTTGTCAAACGCCTTTGCAATGCCCATGTATACTGCTACGCAAACTTTCTTGTTGTCAAAATCTTCTGTTATTTTGTTGATAACTCTGTGCACTTGCTGCACCGTTGAGTGTTTTTTTCGAAAACCAAATTGATGGGGTGGGATTACATTTTGTTCTACTAAGATAGGGTTGATTCTGTCAAGTAAAATTTTTTCGAAGATTTTTGATAAAATTGGTAACAGACTGATTGGTCTATATGAGCTAACAAGAGATTCACTTTTATGAGGTTTTAGGACTGCTGTAATCTGCGCAATTTTCCACGTCGAAGGGAAGGATTTAAGTTTTATCACTGCATTAAAACATTTTTATAACATTATTTCTTATAAACTTAATCGTATTGTCTGGCAGCTCTTTTAGTGTTTTACCACTGATTTGGTCATAGCCCGGTGTCTTTTTGTCTTTGACTTTTAATATTTGTTCTCTTATTTCGTTTATCGTTGTTCTTCTGATTGCACAGTTGGGTTTGGGTAAATGTGATGAAAGCTCAACGTTTTGGTTGTCCATACTGTTCGTAAAAATTTCCTCAAAGTGTTCGGCCAGTGTGTCAGCTTTTTCTTTGTTTGTTCTTGCCCATGAGTTTTTCTTTGTCTTTATTGGATGTTTATGTGTAATTGATTTTGTCAGTTTTTTAGTTGCTTTCCATAGGGAGTAGTTTGTAGATGTCGTTGTTCCCAGATTTTCCAGCTGACTCCTGATTTGGCTTTCGTTGTACTCTTGTAGCGTTTGCTTGAGATCTTTTGTTGCACGGTTTAGCTTGGCCTTGTCATTTGGGTGCTTGGTGGACTGCCATATTTTTCTTAGTTGGCGCTTATGTTTGATTTTGTCTTTTATGTGTGATGGAGTCCTTTTGGTTATTACGGGGATCAGAGCCGGCGTCGATTGCCATAGAGCTTTAATTATGTTGTCGTTTAAGTGCATTATATCAGAGTCTAGTTCTTCATTTGTTTTTAGAGAGGCCATGGTATCCATGTTGTCAAGTAATATCTCCCTGAATAGGTTCCAGTTCGTTTTATGGTTGTGGCTCGGAGTGTTGCTTATCAGGTCTGGTGTACTTTTTATAGTTACTAAGATTGGTGAGTGGTGTGATGATAGGTCCAGGCTTGACTTTATTTTTATGTTTTGGTGTGTCAAGTTTTTGGTATTGCAAAAGTCAATCAAGTCGGGAAGTTTTTTTGTATCAGTTGGCCAGTAAGTTGGCTCTCCTGTACTTTTTGTACGGCTATTATTGGCTTTGATTTTTCTTGATTTTTTTCTTTGTTATAATTATTAGCTATAAGTTCGGACACGGAGTCCTCCACCCAGTATTAGTTTAGGTATTAGAAAATAAGGATATTTTGTTAGATTAAGCCAAGACGCACACCCCGACCCTAACGCGTTATCGCACTCGTGAGGCCCCGAACGCAATACTCGAAAAAGTGCGATCTCTGACCGGAGAATCGCAGCCAACTTCGCGATTACCGGGGATTAGCTCGCTCTCTTTCGTCTTGACTTTCGCCGAGGGCAGACGTGTGCCCAAGTATCCCTTTGAACCTCGACACAGTGCGCAGCCACCGGTAGACACACACCGTCATCAACGTAAGCCAAAGATTTCCTTTCGTGAGAACAGCAGCCAGGGCCCCCTTTTGAATAAAATTAACTAGAAAAGCTATATAAAAATCTCGTGAATTATTACTACACCTACACCCCTTTTCCTTCCCCTACCCCGTAGCCTCCGAGTCAACCGGAGAGCAACACCTTAAGATCCCTGCAAACTCGGAGTCCAACCGGAGTGCAGCACCTTATAATCCCTGTAGACTCCGAGCCCAGCCGGAGTGTAGAGCCTTGTAGAGCCAACTACCACCGAATATTCCCGGGATCCTCACCCCGCAGCGGGATCGCTCACAGTACCTCTTCCCACCGACAGAGGGCGCGGCGAACTAAATATTCCCAGGTTCCCCGCCAAGTGCTGAGATTACCATTCTCTCCACCGGTAGAGGGCGTAGCAAACCAGTTTTATTACCCGGTTCCCCGCCAAGCAGCGCGATCGGGTAGCACCCGTCTTTAACCGAGACTACAACCCCCTCATACAAATTCCAACTACAGGTTCCACCCTTCTATATAAATTTCTTGTATAGATTCCCTGGCCCCGATTGAGATTTTATCCCGGCCAGAGAACAAACATTACAAGTGGCGCCCGAGCAGGGACCTGATAGGGAGAAAAACCCAGGAAAATTACCACCTGTATGGGGAGTGCGTAGTCCTAAGACGAGTGACATAACCTAAAAATTCCGCGAAGAAAACTAGAGCAGGAGTGCACCGACCGTGAAAAATAACCTCAACTAACTAGTGAACGCGTCCGATATCCAGCCCACGTGCTACTTCGCGATCCCGTACAGTCTACGCAACCGAGTGCCTGTAAAAAACAAAAAAAAAAACCATACAGCCCAAGAGGGCCAGTAGAGACTCCAACCAAAGAAGACATTATTCCAAGAGGGCCACGCATTAAGGAAACGCTGCAAACATGGGACCCGACCAGAAAATTTCCGGTGAGCCCGTTCCACGCTTAGTTAAAAATCCTGGGGTCCCCTCGCGGTGGATTTATTCACGTTCGAAGGCCGAATTACTAGCCTTTGCTGACGAATTCGGATTCTTCACCGAAGGCTTCGTCGACGATTTGCGGCGCAACTTTGCCACCCTAGTTAGGGCTTCTGAACAAACCCAAGAAGTGTGGGCTCGACTCGCTGACCTAGGCAAGCAATTTTCCTCTCGTGCCCCGAGTCCCGTGCCCCCGGTCAACACGAACCGAGACATATTCTTAGAGCCGAACCCCGTCCCACCGGTGATCATTAACCGGGAACCTGCGATAGATCCGAGCCACGATCGGAACCGCCACGAGTTTGTCTGCGTCCCCGAACGAATTCGCAAATGGGGTCTTCAATTCGACGGGTATACACCCCCTTAGCCTTTATCGAACAAGTCGAAAGCCGGGCCTTATCCTACGGGATCGACCTAAGACTCCTTCCGCGGGCCATGGCAGAGCTGCTGACGAGCAGGGCGGAAAAGTGGTTTCAGACCAGCCGCCTCCAAGGGGCTGACTGGACCACATTTCGACGCGAATTCCTCGAGTTTTTCCTTCCCCCCCGATACCTCCAACGCTTGGACGACCAGATTCGGAGTCGTGAGCAACGGGAAGGGGAAACGTTCAAAGATTTTATGTTAGACCTTCGAGTTCTCATGCGCCATGCGGGCTACTACGAGATCCAAGAACTGAATAGGTTGTACGAAAATATCGCGCCGGAATACCAGATGTATATCCGACGTAGCGAGTTCCGAACCATTGGGGAACTAACTTTGTTGGCCACCGAATTCGAGGCTGTCCAGAAGCAGAGTTTTGAAAGAAACAACTATAACCACGCCTCTAGAAATACGACAGCTTACCGCCCACCTACACAGGGTCGGACGCAACCTGCATTCACCGAGAGGATTCCCCACGG